TAATATCATATCCTTCGATTTATATCGTTTGATTTCGCATTCCAAATCTGATAAACATTGATAATTCTCTCTTCGCGTATGTCCACGCGTAATTCTCGCAAAAAACACGCATTAATTGTGTCGGCAGCATTGATGATCACGGCAGCCAATGAAATAACGATTTCGATTCGATTTCCCCAGAGTCATGCCACAACCTAACCCGCGAACAGGCATACTCTGGGAACGAGATTGTCTTCACGTTGTTTCATGAAAAGGCCAGGTTACTCAAAAGACTAGTTACCAACCTACACATTGTTGAACGCGGCATTCAAATATTGTGAAATGTAATTAATTATTCTGTTTCAGAAACGTAAAAACCTTGTGGTAAAAACGTTAATTAAGAGTTAATTTGTTTGCCACTAACCATTGATAGTCGACAGATATAACATCGGAGTTCAATTTTGCCTCCAATTCATCTATCGCAGATGCAGAGATATTAGTGTCATCTGCAAACATCGAAGGTTTTGCCTGATCAAGTCGATCAAGACAGAATAGGCCTGAGAGGTCCGGCTAAGTTTGACCCCTGAGGAACACCACTTCACATGTTTGGTATCTTTTTCTAAGTATGATATAAACCAATTTAGGACACCCCCTGTAATTCCATACAGTTTTATTTAAGATTTTATGCTTAGTCTCAAATACTTTCCGTAGATCTAGGAACAAGACTACATTTATAAGATCTTTATCAATATTTACCAGCTAATTACTGGTAGTTACCTCAACAAATACGTATTAAATGATACACAAAACTAAATCTGTACTTTCTTTCATTTAGTTATTTGATCAGTAATATTTATTGCCGGATTTAAACTTTTCCGTGCGGAAAACGCGTAACCGAATACAGTTATACTATGGTTTGTTTCTGAACTACCTGAACTAATAATTAACCATATTCTAAGCTTCGACTGCAAAGCTCCTTCGTCAAAATGGTTCATAAATCCGACATCAAAACTATTTCGAACATTCTAAATCCAGCCATCAATATTTAATAGTTATTATCAGCCCGTTGTCAGTGATTTACAACTCAAAAATGCAAACATTCACACATATTTAATTTAAGAAAGTTCTAGAGAATATTTCTTCGATTTAAAAACCAATAAAATTACTTCTTCAATTCACAGTTTTAAATAATATCGTCCAAATTATATCATATGGAGTAATTTAACCCCTTTTCCCGTAAAATAACGTTTGTGGTTAAAACCAGTTTTTGATTTTCAATTGTTTCAATTTCAAAATAAAAATTGCAACACTAAAAACCTCTTGAGTTGTTTTATGAAAACAATTTTAACGCCTCCTTGACCGTGGAAAATGAAAACAAATTAATCTACCAGAACTTTTCGAATCAGCAGAACCGCCCAACAAAAGTAATATCTGTCTTCTTTCTTGAATATCTAACTGGCAAATAAGTTTCAATTAGAGGCAATAAATTGTAACAAAATAGCACGGAAGTAACATGGTTCTGTTGCAAATGACTAATTGTTTTGTTCAAACAACCGGTGGTTTACAAGTTACAGTTCAAGGTGAAACAATTTTAGAAACAGCCCATACTTTTTATTCGTATTTTAGCACTCCAAAATTGAATATAATGTCCCAATTATTACAAATTATTAGCGGTTGTTAAAATCATTTGAAACTTATGCTGTTCAGCAGTGGACGTTGAACTAAACACAATTTTGTTTATAGCGTCTTTGGTGTAATTAGTTTAATGAGGCGATAATTTGATGCCAAAATAACGTTAAATATTCATCAGCTTTCATTAGAAGGCCAACAGTGAAGGTCATCCATTTTCCCATAAGAACTTTTGATGTTTGGTGGAGAACATCTCAAAACAGAGTGAAAGCAAGACAATCCAAAATCATCTATCTTCAGGTATAAATATTCATTGTAAATACTGTATATATTACAAGAAATTAAACTCTCCTAACATACAGCGATTGTAGATTAATTATAACAAAAAATGCAACATTCAAAAGAGGTTATCCTTAGGATGTGTAACATTTTTGACGAATGAAAATATCAATTTTCTTGCAAGAAAAAAGTCATAAGTTAAGCACGTTTTCAAGATGGGAACTTTTTCAGAATGTGCAATGGTGCGTTTACCGGCCGGCATGGCGCTTTTATCTTACTTCATTATCTCACAGTGGGGCAACAGTTGTTTAGTGTAAGCAATCTGTAGGGTATGACTAGTGAGAAAACAGCATGGTTAGCATTGGGAAAGTGTGCTCGAGAGACAAACGGAAAACTTCTACATGAAAATGTTTATGCAAGGAAAAACTAGACACAAAGTAAACAATTGGCTAGCTTCAAGTTACTGTGGGGTTTTGCTGCCAAAGAACAGGAGATGAAAACGTCAAAGGAGTTGAAGTCAACTTGAGATACTTGCCCTTTATGTAAGATAATATATATTCACACATTTCAATCTATGCTGTCGCCCTGTAGTTATGGAAGGAATTAAACCATAGAGGAATATTCATAGTTTTCAAATTCAAATCTTTCTGGCAAGGCAAGTAGTTCATTTAGCAGTTTTAGAGAGTTGAATTAAATCAGGGAAGATTTACATTTAAATTTAGATTCGGCACATTTTTAACGTTTGAAAAATGATTTCTGATTTTAAAAAATTTGGATAGAAAATCTTTAACACTTTATATCATATGAATGACAGTGTTGCAAGTTCCACCTTCGTAATAATTCAAATCATATCTGTTTAAGGAATAATATATTCAGACATCTCAATTTGCAGATATTTGTCATATATAATAAGGGGTTAAATATTTTTTAGTTTGTGTCTTTAATAAGAATTAAACCTTTCTAAGTCGTTGAAACTGAGAAGGGTCTTGCAATGCGTGGATTAGTTTTCCACGCTACACGTCCAAATACGGATAAACCTTACAACACAGTAACGTTTATGTTAATCTTCACAATCCTGTACTAATGGACGAATAATTAGCAAACATTTTTAAACAACTAAATGCTTTTATAAAGCTTGTCGTATATGGCATGCCGTGATTAGTATATTAATTCGCCTATGTCTATACACTGTCTATAATCTCTGGTCTATAATTAAGTTGTAATTTTAAACTATTATATAAATCAATCAAGTTATCCCATTTCTCGTGGGTGGAAACAGCAGTTGAATGAAGATAAGTTATTAAAAATAGCGAAGGAAAGCAGTTGTTTTGCTGGAAAATTCTGAGACGAACTCTGCAGGGCATTTATTTCGGACAAAGAAAATTTAACCTGAAGACACAAAACGAGGATTCATTTTTTTTTTAAATGTTCTCCTGTTGAAGAGAAACTATCAACGACAATTCTTGTGTGAATGCTACAAGACTAATAAGTCTAATAAGGTCTTTACTCTTTACATTTGGAAAAACCAAGCATCTAATTTTCAGTTCGACATGATGACATAGATACTTTTCAAATTAGTCCCATCTTTCTCACATTTCAAATTAGTCCCATTTTTCTCACAATGATTACCTCAAATCATTGAGTGAGTTTAACAAAATGTCGTCTGGACTCCCACGTAAATCATGACGACGGAAAATATTATTAGTATTCGAAAACCTATTTAACATTATATCAGAGCTGAGAATTATTGAAGGGGAACTAACTGTCCAAAATGTGAAGCATGAAAGGACAATAATATGATCCTATATGAATAAACAAACCTATACAAGTTCTCTCTAATATTCATGACGTAATCTCATTAACTTATTTGATCACTCTTGAAATTTTCACCTTTTCAGCAAGGTAACTCTCTGTAATCTTTAAGCCAAAGCTTGCCAAGGTTATACCTAATAATTCTAAGAAATGCATAATCCGAAAAAAGGAAAGATCTTGAAAATATGGACAAATACAAGAGTTAAGCCCCGCTCAGACGATATTTGATGAAAGTTGTCAAGCGAGCAACTCTCGTGCCAAGGTGAAACAAGAACAAGAGTTGCATGAGAGTTGATGAGCGAGATTACTGAAGACTTGATATTACAACGCATGTCAGACGATATTTGATGAGAGTTGGCAAGCGAAAGTTCGCATGAGAGAAATTAACTCTCGTGCCAAGGTGAAACAAGAGCAAGAGTCGCATGAGAGTTGATGAGCGAGATTACTGAAGACTTGATATTACAACGCATGTAGCGAAAATTTCAATCAAGATGAGCTCAAAGTTGTGGAGAGTTGCGGAGAGTTGCCTGAGAGTCGATTAGAGTTGGCGGTGCGAGCAGGAGTTACATACAACTCTCATCCTCGTTTGACAGAGGCTTTAAAGATTTATATTTAAATTACAGAATCATCATCAGTCCAAAAGCTTATACTACATTTCCTTCCACCAAAATAAGCGTTTTGCCTATATATGCATGTTTTACGCCTAAAAGACGGTACGGTATAATCAATCTTAAGACTGTTTTCCAGTTATAGTTTCATCAAATGGTCCTTTTGAAATAACTAAGTGAATGAAAGGACAGCATTTAGATTTCTGTATCATTTACTCTGTATAGTTGTTCAGGTCATTCGTTCTAATATGAAATTTAAAAAGGTTTAAACTTTAAGCTTAACTGGAAAGCAGTCTATAATATTTGAATATATTTTGAAACCATGGAGATAAATAGATCATGGTTAAATTATAACTATACAAGGTAAAAGGAAATCACCAGAAAGCTCGTTAATTCTGTTCCATGGTGTATTATACCATAATTCCCGAGGGAATCTCCTGCCAAATTCTCAGCATTCCAACGCGAAAGATACAGTAGTTACAGGTCTAAGAAAAGATGCAATTATCATGTTGTGTCGCTCCAAGTATGGAATGAAAGCAGTGTTGAGCGAACATACTCCACCGCTACCTAGAGTGTCAAGACAAAACTCACTCTGTAGGGATATGTAAATTCTTGGCGTTATTCTCCAAGTACAAATTTAGCTTTACTCTTTTAAAGAATAAAATTAGCAACAACCCCTTTATACTGTGATCTATAATTGAATTATGGCTACTATTCTTAGCACGCCATTACATTGTAACTATTTCATTCTTCATAGAGTGGGCGTTCTAGTATTCAATTTCAACAAAAGTTATCTGCGTTGGAAAACGAACGCGGCATTACGCAACTGTCAGTTTGTGCTTGCAGTTACACGGAGTTGCATTGCACGCGTTAGAGAACGAACTTCGCCATACATACCTAGTATTTTGTGTCGGTGGTCAATAATATTCTGATATTTTCTCAACAGCTTACAGATCTTACTATGATCATGGAGGAAAGTTCTGCAATAAATCCTATACTAACACCAGAAAGTTTGCTCTCGAGTCAGACTCGGTCGCCGAAATGTGCAAGGTGCAGAAATCACGGAGTGATATCTATTCTTAAAGGACACAAGAGATTCTGCAAATGGAAAGACTGCGCTTGCCCCGACTGTAGCCTGATCGCTGAAAGACAGAGAGTGATGGCTGCGCAAGTCGCTTTACGACGACAACAACAGCAAGAAAGTGATCTCAAGAAAACTTTTGATTTGTCTTTCTTAAACAACAAAACATCGTCAGCGGCCAGTTTTGAAGAGAGTCATGAGAAAAATGGCGATGGAGAGCGAGACACTCCTCCTGACAGTAATGACGGTAAGTTTGATACAGATTTCAAGATTTTGATTTTTTTGAGAGGAATCAGTTCCACCATAGGCATAGCCCACGTTACATATACTCAGTAAAACAAGCTAGTTGTTGTAAGCAAACTGCGACGTAGCTTATGTTTAACCGGCGTGTTTACGAGTGTTAGGTTTTTCTCGCTGCTGCGCAAACAGCCGCGCACACGCCGCATCGCAAACCAAACTGGGACAGTCAAAGGCGAAGTTATGCCTATAAATCTATCTAAAAGCCTTTCTGAAGTCTGAACAAAAACATGAGAATATATTAATCTAGTAATACTAATACAAGATATTTGAAACAAAAGAGCAAATTAGCTAATTGATCTATGACAAAAAGTGAAACAATTTTGATATCAAATAAATACAAAATAAGCAGCTTAGTTTGCTTCTCTCTTGCGTTATATAGTCGATTTGGCTGATGTTAAAATGAGTACCAGCCTTTGCTTAATAGGAGAAAGGAATTTGTACGCCTGGCGTTCAAGAGATATTTATGAAAAGATTTGCAACGAAAGTTTAGTACACTAAAAAAGCGAAGAACAATTTGTTTGGAAACTCAATAATTGTAATGCATATAAATATATAATTGTTCTAATTCTCAGCCCTTTCACTGTTTACCATGTTCTTCGTCTTAAAATCCTATTAGTGAAAACGAGATATATTCCCTGCGCCTAGTAAAACAGTACTGAAGAAATAGATTTGCATGTGCTGTACAGACTACAGGCAAAGTTTATAAATAAAACTTCCCGAACATTCGACGCTAACCACTGGAGACCACGCATCTATGCAATCTGTGGTCTAAAAGTAGCGAAGATCTATATTTAACCCAACGTGGAAGACAGGTGGTAATGCGGTATAGACGAATTATAACAATGTTTCAATATAAGCTCAATTATATATATCCATTTGAATGGTTCTATTGTGACATGCTATAGTGTTACTACAGGCACTAATATCGCGAGTACAATGCAGGGGAAATTAACATACAAATGTCGCAAAATGTCGCAATCTTACTGACAATCAGAACTGCAGGATTGTAGACATTTCTCATTTAAGAAAACTGCGGTTCAGTTACAGTGTCTTTAAGGCTCTATCAAAGTTTATGGGATCACAGTAGAAATTTTGCATACTATAGGTAAATTTCAGAGGGTAAATTTTAAGTTTTGAAGACATTTTCCAGGGAACTGATTCACTGTTAAACACTAAATCAGTTCCCCGAAACATTTCTTACAAATCCTTCAAAACTTAGAATTTACCCATGCAGCATTCCTACTGTAATCACAGAAATTTTGATAGTATAAACCCAGCCTTTAAAAAGTTACATTGGGCCTAAACTACACAAAGTACATTTAAGACAGTCCACACTGCATGATCAGGGGGCGAAAGAATATATATCTCCGATGTTCCAAACCATGCACATCATTGGCTATCAGGTGCTTTGACTAATCGATGTGATGTCTGGGGAACTATTTCATCAGTCAAAAGAAAAAGATAAGAAATATTTATATATTGGTCAAATGTCTGGTTGCTTATCTGATAGATATCAAAACACCGCAAGTAATTTGCCTCAGGACTTTGTCTGAGCTAACGGTTCAACAAGAGCCTCGGACTAAATTATAATACTAATAATAAAGAATGTATTGCAGCATATCCATAAAATAACACGGCTCTTCATCTACAATATCTACAGACTAAATCACGCATGTGCACGGATTGCCAAACTACTAGAATAGTGTCCTCTTCAGAGGTATAATCTTGAACGGTTATTGTAGGTAATGCCAATAATAAGAAAGCTTCAGATTGATAGGGATGCAACTACCTGAAAAATACAAGGAGAACTTCGACGTTTTGAGTGAAGGTTCTTCACTGGGAAGTTCGTGACTACGACCCGACGAAGTTCACTGACGCTCGAAACGTCGAAGTTCTTCATGTATTTTTCAGGTAGTTGCATTGCTATCAATCCACAGCTTTCCTCTTCAGAGGAATACTTTTTGCTGAAAACTAAACATTCAAACAATTCTTTCTGGTGCAGGTAAACCTTAGTACCAGTAACAAACCTGGAAAACACGGAGTAAACGTTGCCATGCGTGGAATGTTTGCATTTTAAATATCTATGACACTCAACCACTACAACCACAATTTTTAATAATATCGTATCCATGCCCTTGGCATTAAATTGTGGTCAGAGTGCTAATTAGTACAAGTCCAAACAATTTATTGTATTATTGAAACAATTACGATCAATTATCGAATCTGCAGTACCTGCAAGTTATATTGTTTCCTGGCAAGTTAGAAACATTTTAAAATTCTCTCAAATGTTGCCACATTTATACCGAGCCTTCGGCCACAAAATAACATTTTGTTTAACAGGAAGCATGTTTCCCAACAAATTCAAGACATATTTTGTTTTCGAAATATCATTCTTGTGGCGGAAACAATGTTTTTGGCTTGTATGTCCAAGGATTTCAATTTTTCCCAAATCTGAAAGGTTTAACAATCTGAACCGTTTCTTATCTATTATTTAGAAGACAGCCCTGCGACAAGCCCACAACGTTCCCCACGCGTCAAGAGGGAAAGGTCGCAAGAGTCTCCAGATGACACAGAATTCAAGAAATACAAGAAACTCAAATCTGAAGAACTGATCATGGAGAACTACCCTAGATATATGGATATCTTAACAAGACTCTTCCCTGGACAAAAACGTGACATTCTAGAAGTAGTGTTGCGTGGCTGTCGAGGTGATTTCGCTCAAGCGATAGAGTGTATTCTGGCCAACCACGAAGAAACTTTAACTAAAGGACAAGCACTGTATCGTGCGCCATTTCACCCTCTACCATCCCCATTATCCTTCCTAAGTAGCGGTATTCCTCCCTTTCCATCCCCTCCATTCCCAACAATCCCTCTGCGTCCTCTATGCACAAAAGCAAACTGCAATTGCCACAATTACGACAACACGACACCCAGACTATTTAAAGACGTTAAATCAACCTTTCCCTCGCTAAGTCTAAACTTCAGCACAAGAAACGCCACGCCTTACTTTCGTTACCCACACCCAGCATTCCTTTCACTGCCAGAAAAACACGAGAATGGCCACGCGAGGGTTTTCTCGCAGAATGACACGCGTGAACGTCGCGAAGAAGCAAATCTTTGAAATGAACAATCGTGGGAGATGTGTAAATAGGTGTAGATTGGTGACTGTGTAATAACTGCTCATCTGTAAATACTTAGAATTACCTTCAATATCTGTCGTTCGACTACAGTGATTTTTACTGTATCTGAACTACAGTTAAAGTTTGTTCAATCTGCTTATATTGACCTGTAACCGTGCAGGCGCGGTCATTAATCAAAACATATATTATCTGAAATTATCAGTATTTAATAATTGTAAATAATGTAATATAGTAATTGGTCTTTATTTATTTCATGGGTAATCTTGCAGTTTGATTCAGCTTATGAACTCTACAATTTCAAAACAGTACTGTAACGTTGAAATAGTTTTAATCAGGAACAATTGTTAAAAAAATAAGTTACAATAAAATTTGAATACTCTGGTGTAAAATGATTAAGTTGTTCAAGATGAACATCTATATGTTCTAAGATTTCTATTAAGACATAAAATGATTAACTCAACACAGACGCCAGGAGGATTGAAACAGAGATTATTGTGTCAGTGTGAGTGATGGTGCGCATGACAGGAGAGATCTTCTCTTGTTGCTAAAATTAACATACACATTAAAGTATGCACCATGGGAAAGTCTGCCTCTTACTTTCTCTTGTTTTCACGAGCAGCTAATATTGTCTTCAGTTTCTCAAAACGACCTGTACGTACTTGCAGGTTGCCAAATATGGGGTCCAACCAACGACTTCTGTCCTCAGATGAGATGTGATTCAACTCCCCAGGGAGGATCTGGGATATCTTATGCAAGGGCAGGGGTGTGAGAGGAAATGGTGGAGGCATGAACTCTTGTGTTTCCTTCTTGAAACGTGCAACTAACGGTTGTTTCAACCACCAAGATGGTTGGTGAACCACATCAGAAAGTTCAGGACTGTCAGCTATCTCACCATCTTCAAGTTCTGTGCTCTGCAACGTCATCTGGGATGATGATGGTTGGTCACCTCTACCATCAATTTCAATAACCCCAGAAGAGCCTGGTGGTTCATCATCTTCAACTTCCATGTCATTCTCCGAGGAATGTCTCATCCTCTTGCTCTCGTGGTAAGGCAAGTCGTTGGAGGGAAGTTTTCGTTTCTTGTTCTCATTTTCTGACAAATCATCTTCTGGTTTGATGTCCAATTGGTATTGATGCTGCATGACTGGTAAACGAACCTCACGAGCTAGGTCTTTGCAAGCTGAAAAAATGTTAAAATATGAATGTTCAGTATCAGCAGGAAGGAGTAATGGGTTCGTTCCAGAAATGATCCTCATTCCCCCCACAGAAATTTCTGCTGTCTGCATTAGGATGTCCAAAGAGGGTAGGGGGTTAACCTCAAATTTCCTCTGTGAGGAAGGTATGGATGTTTATTGGAAATCTGAGCAACCTTGGGTGTTGTCTCCTGTTTACTTGTGCCTGTTTTTCAGGCTGACAAGAACCAACAACCAAAGTTGTTTATTTGTCATTTTTACATTTAAAACTGCTTTAATTTTTGATGGTGAAAGCATCACCGTATGAATATGTGGTTTTCACAAATCACTGTTGTGCAGCAGATGGTCAACAAGGGATTATCAGAGTGAGAAAATTTATATGTAATCTTGTACACTCACAACCTGTCAACAAGATGTGTTCGCAACAGGATTCTCAACAAGTTGTAGCAATGCTGTTCCAACAACTTGTCAACAGGATGTGTTCGCACTGCTTGCTCTCAGCTTGTTGATAACTTGCTGCAAGGTTGTTGAACTCAACAGATGTGTTACAAGTTGTTCCAACAACTTGTTATTATCCTGCAATTCAACAATTTGTCAACAAGTTGTGGGTGACAAGCTAAGTCTGCTGCAGGTTTGTTTATAACTTGTGCATTTTTAAGTGTGTATATGAAGCAAATAAATTGAGAAATGTAGCTGAACATGTTTGAATGTTTGTTTGTAGAAGTGACAGCAACCATCTCACCTTCTGGTACAGGAACATTAAAGCCAGGATATTGAACATACTTGTCAGAATCAACATGACTACTCTCATTACTCTGTTCTTCTTTCCCTTCTTTTCCATACATCACAATACCAGAATCATGGTTGCCAGGCAACCAGCCAGGAGGATAACCAAGCATTCTCATGCGGTAAATAAATGGCGGCAGATCATGGTCAACCATATTCAAAGCCTCTTGTAATGTATTGCTAATCACCCCAGGCTTCAAATGTTGATACTGCTCACGTTTCATTTCATGATAACGAGACTCACTAGTAAAAGTTTTAGTTCCCAAAAACTCTCTTCGTTTCAAGCTAATTCTTGCAAGGTCGCGTCGTTTAGGACATTCGTTCAATCTGTGATCGCCGTCACAATTGAAACACGACTTCTTGCGTCTTTGCAATACTTTAGCCCCTGTCTCCTCTGGCAATGTTTTAAAATAAGCTCGATCATAACTTGGTGGGTTTGGAAATATTTTCTCCATATCTGAGCCAAATCTATCTAGGCAGAATGAGGCAAAATATTGCACAGACCCAATTGGTAAATATGACATATCATATTGTAACTCCTCGTAGTCTAACTTTCGATAGTCTGAGATCCGTCCAAGAGCTGCTGCAAATCCATCACTCAGTATAGTTCTCTTCGACGACTGACTTGATTCGGCGTTAAAGGCCTTGCTTGCATTATTTTGAACGGAGTTTCTTGCAACATGACAAACAAAGTCTTCAAGGTCGCCTTGTTTCGTGCAAGCGCTGTCATAGAACAGAATATTGGCGAAAGGTTCATCTTCGCTTGGATTAAAACCAATCTTTCGTATTAGTTTCTTCAATAACATATTTTCCTGCTTCAATGAATCGAGTTCACTCAGATTAGCGCTTTTACTTTTCGCTCGAACGTACAATGCTGCATTTTCATCGCCATTTTCAACTGAATCAAACTCAGAGAATAACTTAGATTCATCAAAAACGTCTTCATCCATATTTATTTATTAGCTCTACTTTTTTTGAAAACATAAATGTAAAAAATATTCCTTTGTACAGCTAAAACCTCTGAGCTAAAACTAACCAGCGTGATGCGAAAATCGAAAGGGCAAATCGTTTCGATTTTAGACCGCCATTTTCTTTGTAGCCTGCTCAAGCGCCCCCACCCGAAAATTTCGGGCTGAGCAAATCGGGCGCCGAGGAACTCGATATAACACTGGACTAACTACCTGTGAAAACTACTTATGGTATTGGAAAATTTATTGAAATTTTATACATCAGTTTTCTTTCTAATATTTACTATATACAAAAGTTAGACTAAATTGAATTATACTAAACTTACTATATACATACAACAGCAAGCTATAGTCACATATAAAGGAATTAGGATGTCATTTTATTGTCCTTCTGCCCATGACACAAAGTAAACATTTCTTTCATAAGCGTTGCATCATACAATTCTTTATTCATTGGGTAATGTTGTTCCTTTCTTCGTGCCCAATTCTCCGTAGTTGCGCGGCAAACAGAACACTCTAAGTCATACACGCGTGGTAAAACACGCCCGTTCTCTTTCAGCGCAGAATGCGCGGGTCTCTTACGACAGCTGTACACGAAGGGCCGACGGACAGTCGGTTGCATATCTGTTACAAACTTTTCATGACCGGTTAAGTAAACAGTTTGTAACAATTTAAATGACTTTTTCTTTAAATCTTCAACAAATGCTTGCTCCTGCATTAGCATAATCTCCGTAATGTGAAATTTACTTTCCATGCTAAGTTCTTCAAATTTCTCTGAAGTTTTAAGATGACTGAGAGAAAACGAGGCAGCTATTTCAAAACATTGTTGTTTCACGTCTTCCAAACCATAGCGCTCAGCCAAGAGAAGGAAATTGATGCACTTCAGGTCTGGTTTCTCGATCTCAAGTAAAAATGAACTACACAAGTAGAGAACTTTCTCAATTTCAAACTCTTTGGCCAGTTTTAAGAAAGATATAATGTTCTGAGAATTGACAGTTTGAAGATTGTAGATTACCAGTAACAGTTCGTAAATTTCTTTTGCTTTCTTCTTTGGTAATTCGATGATTTCATTCGCTGTTTTCCGCGCTTTAATCAAACTATCAAAAACCGGAGACCATAAGCCAAGTGTGTTTTTATGGACATGAAATTTCCGATCTTCAGCTCGTAATATCACATCACTGCGGTACCAGGGTTTCGCGAATTCACACATTGCCATGATTCTTGATTACTTTTCTTTTCGAAACGTCTGCACAAAATCAACTATCTGCCAGACAAAAAGATTTTCGCATTTAATTAGTCACATCAGCAAACATGCGCACGCGCGAAAAAGGCGCAATTAAACGACCGTTGCATTCGAATGATGTGTTGCGCGCGCTTGTTGTGCATTTTTCGAATTTCTCGCGCAAATATTCCAGGATTAATTATGGATCAAAGTCTGTGTTTAAAAACATATTTTCAAGATCGTGAAACGACAAAAATATAAAAACAGCATACCTTTTTAGACTTTTTCATTGTCCTTTTAGTAGAAAAGCGTTGATAAATCAAAACAGGCAAATGGTCATCACCTGGGGGCCAGTCGAAGAAGTTTTCAAGCACAAACTCTGACTTAGTAGTCACATGGCATAAAGGTAAAGCAAAATCAGTGCTTTTTAAAGGTAGAGACGGTGTTTCGGTGCGAGATCGATGTATATTGCTTTGCGAACAAGCAACTCAGTCCATGCTAAAGCCACATTTGTCAGACTCCAATGAAATTAAACTCTCGCAGCAAAATATTACAAGTGCGTGTGATTGTCCTAACTTATCGGACAGAAATATGAATGCCGCCATCGATTCCCCTTCCCCGGTTGAAAGTATACAAGGCAGAACTATCCATCATTCAGCTCCCGCTTTTGTCAATAATCATTGCCAGACTGAGCATATGGAGCTGAATAATAATAATTGTGGTTGTGGCTGCGGAATTCTGGTTGCTGAGTTTGAAGGAATAAAGCTTGATTTAGTTATTTTACAAAAGAAATTTGAGACTGAATTTGCGACCGAACGTACCAATGTAAACCAACTTAAGCGAGAACTTGCTCATGAAAAAGATAAAAACAGTCGTCTTGAGTCGGACTTGACTTTGTTTGTGATAGAAAGAAATGCCGAATTCGATGAATTGAATGAAACAATAGCCTTACTTAACGACAGAATCAAAACCAGTGAAGCGATTATTGATCAACTGAGACCTTCTAATGCAAGCATAAATTTGGAAGAAACATGTACTTTTGATTCTGCTCAATCAAAAGATGAACTTGTCAGAAAATATCCAGTTTGTGTCGACATTAGTACACAAACCAAGAATGACGATCAAAAATTATCTAATAATAATGCTGGTCAGTTTTGCATGAGTGAAAATGCGTATGTTAATCTCCTTAATAAGGTTGCCGAAGTGCGCAACGAAACGGCTCATTCCATTAGTCAACCTCGCATAAATAAAAACGTTAATGCGAATTCCTCTAAGCATTTGGTCGCATGTCCATTCCTATTAAAGAAAGGACATTGTTTAAAGGGATCAATGTGTGATTTTTCTCACAATATTAGCCAAAGTCGCATAAGCAAAAAGGCAAGCGTGAATAATCCCATTGTGTCAGCAGAAGTTGCAACCTCTATTAAATACGATAATAAACAAGTAAGAAACAACAATCAAGCCACTTTTGCGGAGGTAGTGACATCTAGCCCTGCATTTAATACCTGCAACACACTTGAAAAATCTCCCACCAACAAATCCCAAAACAATTCTCTGCAAATAATCAATGATCCATCTAGTGACTTTGCTGACGGGTTTATTGGTGTTGACCGGAGACGTAACAGAGTTAAGAAATTCCTGTTAAGCGGGATAACTGAAAACGTAAAAGAATGTCAAATTGTTTCCTATCTGAAACAACGGAATATAACACCTACATATATTTCCGTTTTTCCAAGCAAAAGAAAAGGTACGACATCGGCTAAAATCCATTTTCGTTCGGCCGATTGTTCGTTAGTGCAACAACAAAATTTCTGGCCTCAGTTTGTCAACTGCAAGATTTGGCAATCGAAAGGAGAAATTAGATCTAATATTACCCATCACGGGAAGTTCTCAACTTATGTATAATGGAGCAAATAGAAGTCAGAGTTTCGTCACGTAATTTTGGTTGCCGTGTGAGGCAAAGAAGGCGTACAGAAACGCGAGGTGTCAATTATAACAATCTAACCCGTATTAGATGCACA